GATTATTTATTTATACTAAAGTTACTATAATATTAAAAAGTAACTTAAAACATGTTACGTATATAATCTATCTGTATCCTTATTAAATAAATAAAATATATACATCAGATTATTTATTTATACTAAAGTTACCATAATATTAAAAAGGTAACTTAAAACATGTTACGTATAAAATATATGTATATCCTTATTATATAAATATATAAAATATATACATCAGATTATTTATTAATACTAAAGTTACTATAATATTAATAAATTACTTTCCTTTTTATATATATGTATATACATATATATCTATATATATGTATATACAACTGTCCATGGGTAATTATCCATACCCATCCAACCTCCTATTCAAGTAGTCCGTGGGACCCAATTAGTTAGTCCATTACCACTAATCATAACCATAAAATAAAATAAAATAAAATAAAACATTTAATCATTTAATTTATAATTAATTACAATTAATCAAATACATCATTTAAGTGCACAATCTAATTAAACAAATAATACAAATAACACCTAGACAAAATACAAATAACACATAGATAAGTAGCCAATTAACCAAGTAACACTTAATTCAATTAAACACATAAACAATTAGTCAAATAATCAATTAAACAATTAAAAAAATACAATAAAAATAAATAAATAAATACCGAGACTATCCTTTTAAAATTAGGGGTATTACAGGACTCGCGTTGCATGTCCTCCAATTCTTCCCATACATGACTTTCTTTACAAATAGAGTTATTTCTATTATATGATATTTCCTACGTAGAACTTGCTTTGTATAAAACTTCCTTCTGTGTTGACTCCTTTGCTTAATAGGACTGAGCTATATTTAATTGTACTTGGGCCGGATGCAGCTTGGTGTAAGTGACTTGACCAATGGGCCAGAACTTCAACAACGGTGACATTGGGCTGATTGATACTCTTACCTGGCCTTGGAGGCCAAATATAAATGATACTGGGTTAAAGCATAACGTAATTTGGGCTTGATCCGGATGGGCTTCTGAAATTTCCCCAAATGCAGATTTATATAGTGATAACGTGTTTCATTCTTATTGGATGGAGATTTTTCCCTCCACACTTTGCCCCCAATTCCTCTTTAATTGGGTTACGGCTCCTAATTAAAGGGGAATTGAAGTTATGCAGTTGTCATTTTCGCACGAGGCGTTTCCATTTGTGTCTATTGTTATTCTGACTCAAGGGCTTCTTCAAGACTCGCTTGTTCTCGGTGTGCTTGTTCTGTCTACTGCGTTCTTCATATTCTCATATCTCCAGGTTAGTTCTTCTTTCCCTTCTTCCAATCTTACATTATGAGTACTTCGACTACTCCTGAACGTATAGAAATCGTAGATTCTGAGTCCACGCCCTCGTCTTCCCCTAATCTTATTAGGGTTCTTCCTCCAAGGGTTTCGAACTTCCCTAAGCCTGCCAATGACTCGGTTAATCAACTGGATGTTTCCCCAATCCAGGCTGAAACATTCACCTCTGGGTCGGACAATATTTTCACTAAGGAAGAAAGGAATGCAATTTTATCTATTCGTCGTATCCCGTTTTCCATTGAATCCGTAATGGAAGATTTTGAGATTCCCGAGGGGGTAAAAATTGTAGAATACCCTAAGGGTGCCGATTTTTGTGCCGGCGAGGGTGTTAGTGAAGACGAGTTGCTCCTCTCTGTTGGGCGTCTCAAAGCTCTTAGATTCCCCCTTCATCCTTTCTATCACTTAGTCTTTAACAAGTTGAGAATTGCACCCCTACAAGTAAACCCTAACTTCCTTCGAGTAATATCGGCACTCCTTATTCGCCGATGGCTGAAGAGTCTTGACATAACTCTGGCTGACTTGCTGATTACTTACACCATTTCTAAGCATGGGACCGAACCTGGTCGTTTCTTTTTCACCTCCCCCTTGCACTAAAGGATTTGTATAGAGAGGATGATAATTGTTAAAGGGAGATGGGTCGTGCCCTAATCGACCAAACTCCCAATCCCACACAAGTTCGGGAAGTTAGGTATAGAACGTCCCCCCTCTCTTCATGAAGATTGCTTTGGTTGTTTCCCTTGTCGAGTCTTATTCTTTCGATATATTTATGAGTTTCTTGGTGTTTTTTCCTTCTTCTACTACCAAGAAGAGGCTTTCCTTCCTTGAAGGGCAGGTTTGGAGAGACCCTCCTTCGCTTAAGGACTTGCTTACCTCTGCAAACCTTAAAGTAGTTGCTTCCAGAGCCGTAGCTGTTGATCTCATGGACCTCTCACTTCCATCTTTTAACAGCTTCCCCATGACTGAGGAAGAAAAACAAAGGGCTGAAGCCTTGAAAAGGAAGGCTACAGAGAGTGCCCCATTAACTATATTGCGCTCAAACGAATAGGAGAAGAAGATTGACAAAATTCTTTTGAACAAGAAGGCGAGGTTGACTTCTTTTTCAACCATGAAATCCAAGGGCGCTTCCAACCCAAAAAGTAAAGGAAAGAAAGCTGAAGAGACTAATCCAGAAGAGGAGGTCATAGCTTACGTCCTTGCTGAGGCTGAAGCACCTTGGACTCCTTCTTTCTCGAGGGCTGACAAGTCCATCCTCCATACCGGTGATTCTATGATCACCGATCCATCTGCAGCGCTGGCTGTTGCTCGGGGAATGTGGCTCCCCAAGGATGAAGAAATTATTGGTAGAATAGGATTGGAACAACTACTCCCTTCTGCCCCTGTTCGAGCCATAGAGGTTTGCTTATTCACTCTTCTTCCATTGTCATAATTATCTCACTCATTTTCTTATATCGTTATTGTTTCTATCTGATAATGCAGGTCCTGTATCACACCATGGCTTTTTGTGCCACTACTGAGGCTCAGTCTCTCTCCATTCAGAAGCTGAAGAAGGACCTCAGCAATTCTGAGAAGAAGGCATCCCATGCCATTGCAAATGCTCAGATTGCATATGAAGCTAGGGATATTTATAAGAAGCGTCTAGCTGCTTTTGATGCAAAAGTATAGTTGCTGGAGGCTGAGGTCCAGCGTTTGAATGATGCCCTTAGCACCTGCATCATTACAGGGAGGCAGATGCAGGGGCGTTACTCTAGTTTGGTGCGCTTATATAGAGCCAAGGCCTACAGGTCCAGCTTCAATCAAGGTTCAGGAGAAAAAAACAACAGATCCCGAGGCTTTTGATACTCATATGGGGGTGTCTTTCCCTTATGACGAGGGTCCGAAGGCTCACGAAGCTGAAGTTCTTTTCGCCGAGATAGTGAAGGCTCATCCTGAGGTCCCTCTAGCTCCAAGTGTCTCAACTCCTGCAACTGCTCCTGGCCCATCAAATCCTCCACCTGCAAGTCCAGTTATGGTGGATGCTTTTGAATCTACCCCGTTTGATCTGAAGAGGAAGTATGATCAAACAATTTTTTTTTTTTTTTTATGTAATGTAACAATGTTTAGAATGATAGACATAAATGATATAACCATGTTTCTTAAGCTGTGTCGCCTTTATTCTGCTTCGACTGAGTATGCTTTTATGCTTTTAATATTGCAAACACTTTGTTGGATATGATTATTTTAAAGAAAGTACCCTGCCTGAGGGTTCCTCATTTGTTCTAGTCCGAAGCAAAACTAAATAAGATGTGAAGAAGGGATCTCCTCTAACGGTTTATCTGATAACAGAGGATTGTTTTTTCCTTTGGTGATTTAACCGTCAAGGGAACCCTTTTTGAAATGGACTTGTGTGAAGTAAATATGTTTATACTTGTTTCTTCTTGTAGTTTTTTGATGTGGGACAATCTCGTGGCTTATATTACCGAACTTAGAATCAGTGAGTATGAGCGTAAGAGTAAGATTTGTTGAGCCGGACACTTAGGGTCCAAAGTGAATAGATTATTCCCCGACGCTGAGCCTGAGTCGGACACTTAGGGTCCGAGGCGAAAAGGCACTGAGCCTGAGGGAAGGTTTACCGAGCCAGACACTTAGGGTCCGAGGCGAATAGATTACTCCCCGGCGCTGAGCCTGGGGGGAGGTTTGCGCGAGCCGGACACTTAGGGTCCGAGGCGAATAGGTTACTCCCCAGCACTGAGCCTGAGGGGAGGTTTGTTGATCCGAACACTTAGGGTCCGAGGCGAATAGATTACTCCCCGGCACTGAGCCTGAGGGGAGGTTTGCCGAGCCACTGTATCATGATTTCATATGTATATATATTTTTTCAAATAACTTATCACGAGGCCAAAGACTCAAAAATGATAGGAGGCCAAGAAAGCGAGTAACAGTGGCTGGGAAGTTTCCTATTTGTTTCCTTTGGAGACTTTCTTCCACTGAGACTCCCTTCTTGGCAACCAAATGTGGTGGACTAAGCATATATTAACCGCATTTATTTTCTATTTTTATCCGATGTGGGATATAGACTAAACTTTGTCAAAAAGGTCAGTGTAAGGAATGCCTCTGGTATTGGGCTTGGCAGACTTTAATACCAGTGGGCTCCTTACACAGCAATCAACTATTTGAATATTCCCATATATAACAAGAATGTAATACATATTTTTTTATCGATGTAGGACAGAGAGTTTTAACTATAGGCCATAACTCAGGTATTTTTTTTTGTAAAAAATCATTGTGACGAATGCTTTTTAATAACTTGCTTTTAGCATTGCTTTGCATAAAAATTGCATAATGCGTCTTGGCATACAAACATGCATATAAATCGCATAATCATAGGGTAGTATGACCCCCATTTTTATGGAAAGAGATAAATGGAGTAGAATTGTACTAAATACGATAACAGCAACATAAAGAAAAACTTGACTAACTGTGGGCATAAGCAGCCTTATTCGTGAAGAATTCTAACAAAATTGACAAACTTATCTAATGGAAATACCTTTTAAGGTGTATTGCATTCCAAGGACGCGCAATGGGACGTCCGTCAGCTTCGGCCAAATGATATGCTCCCTTCCCCACTACTTCGGTAACCCTATAGGGTCTGGTCCAATTAGGTTCCAGTTTCTTTACATGAGCTGTCTCTTATTTCAAAACCCAATCGCCTACTACAAAGCTCCTGAACTTGACGCGTTTGTTATAACTGTTGCGCAGCTGTTGCTGATATAAAGTAAGCCTAATTGTTGCAGCATCCCTTTTCTCGTCCAGGATATCGAGACTATGTTCGAGCTGCTGACTATTGTTTCCTTCAAGTAATAAGAATGTCCGAAGGGTTGGAATTGCCGCTTCGGTTGGGATCACAGCTTCGGATCCATAAGCCATGGCAAGTGGACTTTCCCCCGTGGGCCACCGTGGAGTGGTTCGGTACGCCCAAAGCACCTGAGGGAGATTCTCGTACCATTTTGTTTTAAGTTTCTCCAACTTCTTCTTTAAACAACTGAAAACGGTTCGTTTAGTTATTTCAGCCTATCCGTTCCCTTGTGGATGACTGACTGCAGCTAGCTTTTATACAATTCCATGCTCAGCGAAGAATTTTCTTGTACTTTTATTGTCGAGGTTCTTACCATTGTCCATCATAATGACTTTTGGGACCCCAAACCGGCAAATGATGTTGTTCCAAAGGCAACTTTTTACCTGCTCATGGGTCACACTTGAGTAAACCTCGGCTTCTACCCATTTAATAAAATAATCTGTAGCCAGTAGCACGAACTCCTTTTGTTCCACAGTCTTGGGTAAAGGGCCCACCATATCAATCCCCCATTGTGCGAACGGCCATGGATTGGCCATTGCATGCAAATCTTTGGCAGGTTGATGCTTCATTGGATCGTGGCGCTGACACTTGTCACATCTCCGAGCATACTCTTCAGCATTCCGAGCCAAGTACGACCAGAAGTAACCTTGAGTTAAAACCTTATGTGCAAGGGATCTACCCCCAGAGTGGTTACCGCAATCTCCATCATAGATTTGTTTCAATACCACAATAGCCTCAGTAGGGCTTAAACATTTCAGGTAAGGACCTGAAAATGACTTCCGGTATAACTGGTTGTTAATGATGGCATATTTAGCTGCGGTGAGTCGGAGCTTCCGTGCCTCAGTTTTCTGGTTTGGAAGAGTTCCATGCTTGAGGTAGGCTTCCAATAGATCAATCCAGCATGGCTCTCGCGGAATAACTGGAATCACCATTACTTCTTGCTGAGGGTTGATGCTGGGTTTGTCCAAGACGTCAATTGGCACAATCCGAGTCAGATCTTTATTTGAGGATGACACTGCTGTGGCCAATTGATCTGCTTCGGCATTCTCAACACGAGGTACCTGGTGGAATTCGACTTGATCGAATCCTCGTGTAACATTTTCCACAGCTTCTCTATATGCTTTCATCATTTCCTCTTTGGGATAATACTGACCTGTCACTTGATTTATAACAAGCTGTGAGTCACTAAAAACCTTTAAACAACGTACCTGGAGGCTACTGGCCAATCGAAGACCAGTAAATAACGCCTCATATTCGACCTCGTTATTCGTAGCAGGGAAATTCAAGCAAATAGACTGCTGCAACTTGGTGCCTTCGGGTGTTGACATAACAACCCTAACTCCTGCACTTATTTGATTCGAGGAGCCATCGATCCAAAGCTCCTACTATGGTTCAGGGGGTTCTGGCTCTTCAGGAGTGTCTTCATATTCTAAAAGAAAGTCCACTACAGCTTGTCCCTTATGCGACACCTTCAGCTCATAAGTTATGTCGAAGGAACTGAGCTCGATAGCCTATTTGGTAATTCTCCCAGATAGATCTGGCTTAGAGAGTATACCCCGTATAGGATAGTTGGTGAGTACCACAATGCTATGGGATTCAAAATAATGTCGAAGCTTCCTCTTGGCATGAACCAAAGCTAGGATGATTTTCTCTGCTTTGCTATACCGTGTCTCCGCATCTGTCATTGTCTTACTTATGTAGAAGACTGGATGTTGCCTCTTTCCTTCCTCTCTAATCAATACTACACTTATCGCTATGCTAGAAATTGCTAAATACATAATAAGAACCTCCCCGGGTTTTGGAGCGGATAGAATTGGTGGTTCGACCATATAACCTTTCAACTGATTGAGGGCCTCCTGCTACTGAGGTCCCCATATATCTTTATTCTTAGATCTTATAGTATCGAAGAATGGTTTGCACTTATCTGATAATCAGGATATAAACTGGCTGAGGGCTGCGATCCGACCAGTAAGAACTTATACCTCCCTACAATTTTTTGGTTCCTGATTCTGTATGAGGGCCTTAGCCTGAGTCGAACTTACCTCTATCCCTCTTTTATTCACTATATGGCCGAGGAATTAACCTGATGATACTGCGAAGGAACACTTGGATGGATTCATCTTCATGTTGTACTTCTTCAGGGTATTGAAAACTTCCTGGAGGTGTTTCGGATGGTCTTCCTTCTTCACACTCTTGACCACCATGTTATCTGTATATGCTTCAACTGTCTTCCCTAACAAATTGTCAAAGATCTAGTTAACAAGGCGTTGATAAGTAGCCCCGGCGTTCTTCAGCCCGAAGGGCATGACCCTGTAACAATAAGTCCCTTTTTCTGTAATGAAAGTCGTTTTTTCTTTATCTTCTAGGTTCATAGGAATTTGATTGTATCCCGAGTACGCATCAAGGAATGTTAGCCTCTCGTAGCCAGTAATAGCATCAACTATCTGATCTATCTTTGGCAGAGGGAAGCTATCTTTAGGGCAGGCTTTGTTAAGGTTGGTATAGTCTACACAAACCCTCCACTTTCCATTCTTCTTTTGTACAACCACCACGTTTGACAGCCATTGTGGATATTGCACTTCTCGAATGAAACCTGCTTGTAACAACTTATTCACTTCTTCAGCTATAATGCGATTGCGTTCGGGGGGAAAACCTTCGGTGTTTCTGCTTAACCGGCTTGAACTCCGGATCCACCTTCAAGCTATGGCAAGAGACTAAAGGATTGATTCCTACCATGTCCGAGTGATCCCATGCAAAAGCATCTGCATTGCTCCGAATAACATCAATTAATGCTTCATTTTCTTCGGACGTGGAAGAAGAGCCTAAATAAGTGACTTTCTGAGGGTCGCCGATGATAACTTCTACGGCTTCAAGGGTCTCCTCGATAGGCATCGCAATTTCTTCTTCCTCCTCTAACTTAAAATACTTGGGCAGAGGGCTCTGTAATTGCTATTTGGGTATATTTCTGGAAGCCACACCTCGTTGCTGCTGAGTAAACACCTTATTTGCTTCAGCCTGTGTCAGCATATAGCATTCCTTCGCAGCAACTTGATCGCCCCATAGGTTAATCACTTCTTTTTCGTCCGGAGACAAGCATCGCATCACCTAGTGAAGGGTGGACGGAACTCCTCTCATCCGGTGTATCCAGCCTCTTCCCATGATGAGATTAGAAGAAGGATGGATCTCTGTTAAAACCAAGTTCTCCTTCAGAGTCCTCTTCGCCGCAGTTACGGATAAGTCTATTACTCCAAGGGGATCTACTCTTATGCCATCGAATCCCATCAATGGGCTGGAGGTAGGTCAAATAGATGATGATGGGATCTCTAGCTGCTCAAAAACCGTCTTTGTAATGATGTTGGCGCTACTTCCTGGGTCTATCAAAACCCTCTTGATCATTCAATTGGCCACTAAAAGACTGATGACCAATGGATCCTCGTGGGGGAGTTAAACTCTGGATAGGTCACCATCGCCGAATCCAATACTGATGCTACCTTAAGCGATAGCATTGACTGTGGATATCTTCCTGAGTTTGTGGGTTGCCCTCAATCTGGATCTGTATACCCCTCGGACTCTTGATCATCTTCAGATCTGTCATGTATTGCATGAATGACCTTTACTTACGTACCTTCTACCTTGCGATGATAGACCTCGCGGGGCTTTACATACTCCTTCGTCATGAGGTAGTCTACCAACTCACCTCTGGCTATCATATTTTCCACTTGCCGCCTAAGGGATCTGTAATTATTGGTTGAATGCCCATAATCTTGATGATAAGCACAATGCTTGCTTTTGTCCCTCTGCTCTAGGGGTTGCGTTATTGGCTGCGGGGCTATGAACTTCATCTTATTCCCTTGGAAGAGCCGAGCCAAGGTAGTTTGGAGAGGTGTAAACCCTTCCTCTAACCTTTGCCTCTTCTCAGGTGCCTGGGTGATCGGCGTTGAGTCGCATTGGCTTTTCTAAATATTTAAATTCGGAATTCTCTCTCGAGGCTTGTTCTCCATCGTCACGAGGGTGAGGTGCTGCGCTCGGTGGGCTCTATTTTCCTCGAGCCGAATGTAGATCTGGGCCCTGGCATTAAGAGTCTGCACGTCGGGAGGAGAATATTTGACCAAGGAAGTGTGAAACTTCGTCCCCTGAATCATTGCGAGTTTAAATGTTTCTATAGCAGTCGCGGGATGACAATCTACTATTTTCGAGGCTTCCATGTTGAATCTAGATAAGAAATCCTGCAATGTTTCCCCCTTCTTTTGCCTTACGGTGAAGAGGCTGGCAATACTCTTCTTTTACTTCTTATTTCCGCAGTATTGTGCCAAGAACATGGTGCACAGAGTTACGTAATCCGGGATGGACTTATGTGGCCTATTCCTGAACCACTCTAGTGCTGCTCTTGTCAAGATGGTAGGAAAAACTCTGTACATCCAAGGGTCATTACGATCATCCAAAGCCATCTTTTGGGCGTAATGATCTAGGTGTCGAGAAGGATCCCCCGTTCCATCGAACTGAGTAAAAGAAGGCATGGTAAATTTCTTGGGCCTTTCAACCATATACACATCGTCAGTGAAAGGAGTTTTGACCAGGGAGTTTTTGTGCTCTGTAGTCATCTCAGCAGGTGTCTGAATCTTCAGGGGTCTTTTCTCATCAAAGGCATCCTGAACACCTGCGCCATCCGGAATTCCATTGGACCACACTATGAGCTTATGGCTAGACTCGACTTGCTCGTCATGCGTGCGACGAGGGACGTTGTCTGAAGCCACAACCTCGAACCTTGCCCTATGTTGTTGCTGAACCTCATTTGGCTGAGCCTCGTTTAGTCGTGCCCCATTAGGTGGAAGCCCGTTAACCAAAGGAATATTCTGATTAGGGGTTGCTGCTGTGTCACCTAGTGGTAGCGGTGGTGCCAACTGAGCCATCGCCATTTGCAGAGTGTTATTCTGCTGTTGAAGTAAGGCGATCTGAGCCACGCTAGCTTCGTTTGCCTGACGAAGTACGTCAAACTGGTGTAGAAACTCTTCACGAATCTTCTGCATCAACTCCGTCTGTTGATTTGTTGAAGATCCTCCGTTCGACATTCCGGATGGTTATTGCAGGATTCACCTGTGAAACAAGAGTGGGAATATATTTGCATATTCCTACAGACGGCGCCAAAGTGTAAGTGCAAAATTCCGCTCAACCAATAACGATTGAGAAAAATAATACAACACACTCAAGAATAGTAAAAATAAACAAGAACAATGTATAAAGAAGAATAGAGTTGTCTAGCCTTTTGTTGGAGGTCTAGGCCTCTATTTATACACAAAAGTTAGTAGAATTATGATATGACTCGCGTTACTTGTCCTCCAATTCTTCCCATACATGACTTTCTTTACAAATAGAGTTCTTTCTATTGTATGATATTTCCTACGTAGAACTTGCTTTGTATAAAACTTTTCTTCTGTGTTGACTCCTTTGCTTAATAGGACTGAGCTATATTTAATTGTACTTGGGCCGGATGCAGCTTGGTGTAAGTGACTTGACCAATGGGCCAAAACTTCAACAGCGGTGACGTTGGGCTGGTTGATACTCTTACCTGGCCTTGGAGGCCCAATATAAATGATACTGGGTTAAAGCATAACGTAATTTGGGCTTGATCCGGATGGGCTTCTGAAATTTCCCCAAATGCAGATTTATATAGTGATGACGTGTTCCGTTCTTATTGGAGGGAGATTTTTCCCTCCACAGGTTCCTTAGGTATTAATAGAAGGATAGTCTTTTCACGGTACAGAAGTTTACCTTTAGACTGATGGTTGCACTAATTAGAAAGGTGATAATTTGTATAGAAGGTTGTATTAAGGGGAATGATTTTTACTCTGCTTACATGGCACTTTATATTATTCTGTGTTAACTATTTTTGTGTGATAGCATGATTATGTGATAATTATTTTCCCCCTGACTAGCATAACTCCCTTTCTGATTCCTATTCTTTGTTTGGATTCATGAGGGCATTAAGGAGTGGTGGTTAGGCATTTCCTGCTGAACTGTGGTTGCTCATTCCTATTATATATACATTTTTTTTAGGTTATGGACAAAAGGTCGTAGAGGGATTTCCTCCATAGCCATGGATGGATGTTGGGTTTTATTTGGTTATTTATCTTTGTCTAAATGGGAAATGTATATTTTGTGACCAATATGTATATTTGTAAATATTTTTCCAAACTGATCGTGTTTAAATATTGTAATTAAAAGATTATGGTGATTTTACGTATGAAACCCACTTTCATATTTTTAGATAATATGTGAACAAGGAACTTTATTTAAAATGATTTTGAATCAAGGGATTTTTCTATTATCA